TTAAATGAATGCTTTGCTTCTGTCTTCATAACAGAAAAACTGGGGGAGATTCTTGAGCGGAGCTCCTGTTCTCAGGAAGGGAATCAGATGAATTGAGTTATATAATGGTAACAAGAGAAGAAATGCTAGGTTTTATTGACAAACTGAACATCAGCATATCACCAGGCCCTGATGGCATCTACTCACAGGTTATTAAGGAGCTTAAAGCTGAGTATGTGGACCTTCTAACTAAAATATGCAACCTGTCTCTACACTCAGCCTTTGAAGTTGAGGACTGGAACGTTGCCAATGTAACTCCAATTTTTAAGGGTTGGATCAATTCATGGAAATCATTGGGCTCATTGGCTATTAGCCTTGATGGCAGTCAGACTGTCTCTGAGGGCTTCCTTGTGCAGTTGGTTGGCCACTATGAGAAGAGACCGCTGGACTAGATGGACTTCTGTTTTTATGTTCTTAACCTAATTAGCTTTTGGGCCCAGACATGACCAGTCAGGTGTTGCCACAAGCTGAGACTGTTAAAGCAACTTTTTATATTCCAAGTCATACAAATAATCAAGGAAAAGGAGTGCAGAAAGATCAAACAGGACAAGGACAGATTATAAACTTTTTATCTAACTGAATCTGTGCATGAGATTCAGAGGATGGAACACAGATGGAATAAGTGAAAAGTAAAATTTGAAAAGGGAGTCAAGGCAAAACAAGCATGTACTCTTTAGATAAGGGAAGAATAAGAGTGATAAAAAGTCAGAGGGCAAAGACTGAACCAGGAAGATGGGTGGGGGGATTATGCTACTATCTCTCCATTTCTGCTCTGAATCTCTATTTCTTTATGAAACCTGCAATAATAATAGTACTGCATGGGGCTTGATCTTTTCTCAGTGAAAGAGATAAGAACAAGGTGCTCCTGACCATTTAACTCTCTTTCCTATATTTTAGTTTGTGGTTTATCAATTTAACATACAAGCAAATTGCATTTCTCATACATAACATACTCCCAATAATCCCAGGGCAGTCCGTGGAGTAAGAGAAGCAAAAAAGAAATACTTGAAATGCTGTATCAGAAGCAAGAACAGAATTCAGTTTTTAGCCACTCTAAGCACAAACATCTTATAGCTTTAAAGATACTCTTTTATGAGAGTTTCCACTTCCAACTAGGTCTGCAATGTGTTTCTATTACAATAAAATAGCACAAAGGAGCAATACAAATCTTACAAGCAGGTCCTAAAGTTGAAATGTCGCACAATATATCTAGTGAGTATTCATTTACAGTAAGTCAAATTGGAAGATGTAAAGAGAGCTGCCTGTCACTTTAATGTTTCCTTCTTGAGACATACAGCAGCATGAAATCACCCATTTTATAAACAACATCTGGTGCAGTGTTTCAGAATATTGCAGTTGCTGTTGTTCAAAGCCACAGGAGGAGGGGAAAAGCATTTTATCTCAGATCTATACACAATATAGTCCTGGTATGGATATTTCCAACTTCAGAATCTGAGATGTGTCACCAGCTGATTTATTTCTAAATCCTTCTCTTGGCTGAAGATACATATGTCTTTCATTGGTTCCCATGGAAACAATGTATGAGCATCATTTGGCTTTGGAAGGTCTTGTGAATAGTTATTTGTGGACTAATCTACAGTACTGGCAATTTTGTAGAAGGTGAAATCTTCTCACAAGCGATATAGGTTTATTTAGATATATTTCTCATTCCTCCTTGCAAAATAGCTGGAGTCTTTCAAACCATCCAATTCTAGTGATAATATGTTTGTTAAAGGAACATGTTGTTGACCTACCTATACTATACTATACTATACTATACTATACTATACTATACTATACT